TGGAGGGCCCAAGTTTGCCCATGCCTGCTTTAGGGTATTTGTGACATTAGTTTTGCTGCCCACGCCCCTGTTCAGAAGATTTCACCTCACTTTCTGTCCTTGTGAAAACTGGATTTTGGAAAGTTTGGCTTGTTGTGGGAACAAAGATTGGAGATAAAGCTTCATTGGAGACCCTTTTCCTCATGGTAAAAACTCTTCCAGGAGTGGATTCCCTTCCTAGGGGGAGCTTTCCCTTACTTCCTGCTGTCTCAGCACCGTTCCTAACAATAAGTCGTTTGTAAGTTGGATGTCTGACACTTGGGGACAGAGTGTACTTGTATTTACATGTTCATACAAAATGAGATATCTTGTAGATGGGGCCCAAGCCCATCTATAATGAGTCGCCGTATGGCTGAGAAGGGCGGGCAATAAATATTATAAATAAATGAATAAATAATGAAATGTGTATATACACATAGCCTGAAAGTAATGCTTTTGCACTAGTTTTTTTTTAAAAAATTGTGCCAAAGAGTACATGCAATGAACAATTACAAAGCAAAGATGTCACTGGGTTGCTATGAGTTTTCCAGGCTATCTGGCCATGTTGCAGAAGCATTCTCTCTTGACGTTTCACCCACATCTATGGCAGGCATCCTAAGAGGTTGTGAGGTCTGTTGGAAACTAGGCAAGTGAGGTTTATATATCTGTGGAATAATGTCCAGGGTGGGAGAAAGAACTCTTTGTCTGTTTGAGGAAAATGGGAATGTTGCAATTGTCCACCTTAGCATTGAATGGCCTTGCAGCTTCAAAGCCTGGGTGATTACTGCCCAGGGGAATCATTAGTTGGGAGGTGTTAGCTGGCTCTGATTGTTTCCTGTCTGGAATTCCCCTGTTTTTTGAGTGTTGCTCTTTATTTACTGTCTTGATTTTAGAGGGTGTTTTTAATACCGGTAGCCAGATTTTGTTCATTTTCATTGTTTCCTCCTTTCTGTTGAAATTGTCCACATGCATGTGGATTTCAGTGGCTTCTCTGTGTAGTCTGACATGGTGGTTGTTAGAGTGGTCCAGCATTTCTGTGGTCTCAGATAATATGCTGTGTCCAGGTTGGTTCATCAGGTGCTCCGCTATGGCTGACTTCTCTGGTCGAATTAGTCTGCAGTTCCTTTCATGTTCTTTGATTTGTGCCTGGTCAATACTGCTGCATGTGGTGGTCCCTATGTAGACTTGTCCTCAGCTGCATGGTATATGGTAGACTCCTGCAAAAGTGAGAGGATGCTGAACGTAGCATTTGTTGGATTATTTTAGTGGGTTCGTAGATAGTTTGTAGGGTGTGTTTCTTCATCAGCTTCCTTGTGCGGTCAGTGGTTCCCTTGATGTATGATAAGAATACTTTTTCTCTGGGTGGATTATTGTCTTTACTCTTCTGTATTGTTCCTAGTCTTGCAGCTCTTCTGATGTCTGTGGTGGAGTCTCCATTGGAGTATTTGAAGCTGCAAAGCTATTGAATTCTAATCAAGCTGGCCAATTGCAACATCCCCACTTGTCTCAAACAGACAAGAGTTCTTTCTCCCACCCTGGATATTCCACAGATATATAAACCTCACTTGCCTAGTGAGACCTCACAACCTCTGAGGATGCCTGCCATAGGTGTGGGTGAAACGTCAGGAGAGAATGTTTCTGGAATGTGGCCAGACAGCCCGGAAAACTCACAGCAACCCACTAAATTATATGTTAGGCTAAGATAAGAACTAGAGAGTGTGGCACCCTACAGGTGTTATTGTTGAGGTCCAAGCCCCATTTTTCTTATTGATTATGCTCCTGTCGAAGGAAAGCCTTCGACCAACACAAAGATGTCACTGTCGCAGCGACCCGAGATGGCAATTTCAGATTCTGGAATTCTGAATAAGATATGCTGAATCTGTACATAACCCATGAACCCAATGCTTAAGTATAGATTAGTGAGGAATATCTTCTTTATTCAACTTTCTGAGTCATTTTGCAACCCTTTCTTCCTCACCCTCCCACCCCCACTGAAGAGGGGGAGACATTCATTGAATGATAACAATCAACTTAAGCATGGGATGGAAAGATTATCACTCCAATTCATTTTTGACTAGAATGTGAATGCGAAAAATGGGAATATTGTAGAAGGCACATGTCTGCTGTCATTTCTATTAGGCACTGCCAGAATTCCTGGATTCTAGCTCTTCTCCAAAGATGCTAGATAGCGAAGCTTGACCTGCTTATTTTCTGATTATTTGATATTTTCTGCTTGAAGCCACCTTCCACTAAGTTTTTTTTAAAAAAATATGTCAAATTGTACCAATCACCAGGGAAGCAAAGACATATGTTAGAGTTTTTTTTATTTGCATGTTCCAAGTGAGAAAAATACCCTTTTATTCATGATTGCCACATTCTTTTAACAAGGTTGACTGTCTGTGGAAAATACTAATTTATTGCCTTTGAGCCTTCCGTTTGTCAGCATCTTCCACTCAACAGACCTGCCAAGATAACGTTAAAGTCCTTAATTTCATGACTATAATGAGTATGATACGGCTCAGTGGAAATGACACAAATTGATATTTTTACGACATCAAAACTAGTTATCTTCTTAAAGGAACAGAAGGCAGATGGGAAGAATTATGCCAAAGCTGTCAGGTTTAAACAATGCTGGCCAGCCCCGCTAAGCCTCATAATAGAGAACATGAATGATTGTTATCAAACATGGCATCTTATTATAGCATTCCCAGGCGAAATGTTGCACTTTTCATCAGAAGCAGTGCTGAAAGCAAAGGAACGATGGGCATTTCTCAACTAACTAAAAGCGCTTAATTTCCCCCTTTAGTTGTAAATGCCCAGCTGGATTGTCAATCTGTCCTTTTATCAGAATCCGGAGCTGATTTACATGTTGCCTGTTCTGACTTCCAAGTATTGCAATTTTCAGGTTTTCCTCTCCAAAAGGATAGGAAAAACTGGGATGGTCACTTATATATGTCTTTAAGAAAACACGTTCCAAATAATACAAGTGAAAGGCATCTCTCCAAACAAAGGCAAAGGGCATAATGGCAGAAAATGAGCATGAGCTTCTATGTATAGATGCAAATTTAAAAACATTGTTATAATTGAAGCAAAGCTACCATGTACCTCACCACAGTGGGGAAGATTTCAAGCAGGTGTTCTCTTTATCCCATCTATTTACATTTATATAAAGGTAAAGGTAAAGGTTTTCCCATGACATTAAGTCTAGTCATGTCCAACTCCGGGGGGTGATGCGCATCTCCATTTCTAAGTGAAAGTGCCGGCATTGTCCGTAGACACCTCCTAGGTCATGTGGCTGGCATGACTGCATGGAGCACCGTTACCTTCCCATCGGAGTGGTACCTATTGATCTACTCACATATGCATATTTTCAAACTGCTAGGTTGGCAGAAGCTGGGGCTAACAGTGGAAACTCACCCCGCTCCCTGGATTCGAACTGCTGACTTTTTGTTTGACAAGTTCAGCAGCTCAGTGATTTAACCTGCTGCACCTCCAGGAGCTCCTATCTATATAAATATATAATTATTTATATCTATATAAATAACAGTCAAAATATATAAATGTATGTATGTACCTTTCTATCTTTCTTTGTATGCATTTTCCAAGATGGCTCTCACTTCCAGAGACCATTGTGACCCCCACCAATTATGAAAATGGACCAGATTTGGCACACAGACCCAGTATGACCAAGAAAACATACTGAAGGAGTTTAGGGGGGATTGAACCTAGATTATAGGAGCTGTAGTTCACCCACATCCAATCTACCTAACCCAAGCATCTCTGGATACCTCAGCTAATAATAAATACATACAAGGTGCTGTAGGCTATACTGTAAAGCAGTGGGTTCCCAGCCTTTTTTTGACCAGGGACCACTTTGGCCAGGAACCACTCTCCAGCATTAGTACCAAAAGGGTTACAAATCAGTTTTTGGTCAACTTTAGATTTATTTTGCTTATTTGGCGTGCTGATTCAGAAAATTGCATTGGATAGATCACATCAGCTCTAGTTTCTGATACCGAACATATGCCATCCAGTAGAGTCACTATCTGCTCGCTCACAGAAAACAATATTTAATAATCTAGAGCTGATGTGGTAGTAGTAATTTTTCATAGGTATTCAGCCTCTCCCCTCCTGACATCCCTGTTGCCTCAGCACTATAAGAGGGTTTTGCGAGACCAGTCGCTCTTGTTGCTGCGTGGTTTCAAGGCAACGGGGTAGTAATGATGAGGCCATGGACCATATTTTCGTTCTTGAGGACCACTGCTGTAAAGGAACTAGCAAACCCACCTCTGAGTATTCCTTGTTTAAGAAACCCCTATGAAATTCATGGGGGTCATTGAATGTTGAGAGGCAACTTGAAGGTCAGGGATTGACTCTGACAACTTCTTTATGGTCTCTGTGAATCATGCAAATTGATTAAACTGCATCTTTCACAACTCTGCTTCCTTCCTCAAAAAGATAACACTGGTATTGGTTTTAAAGCCCCAAATAATGGCATTTTATTTATTTACACCTACACTCGACTTTTCTTATGTAAGCTCAAAGATGCAATTCTTCTTCACAGTTTATCATCACAACTTGTTGAAGTTGATCTACATTAGAGAAGAGCTGGCCTGTGGTCATCCAGTGAGGCCCCGTCTAATACTCTGAGAAAGTGATTTTTTTGCACACCAGTCAGACCTTCTTTACTCATTTCTGTTAACTCTGGCCAAATCAAATTAAAATGGTAAATTGACTCCATTTAGAGCTCTCGTTCCAAGAAGAAACTGGCCACCCCCTTAAAACCAATGATGGATAGAATGCACACCTTTTAGGTTGCTGAATTGTGCCATTCAAGATAATTGCACTTTTGTCCAGCTCTTATAATCCAGAGCTTTTGGCATAGTGAGAATGACACGTGTCAAAAGGGAACCACAGCCATTGAAGCTCCTGCAAATAATAATAATAGTAATAATAATACCCAATTAATCTGATTTTCCTAGGCACACCGTGGAGGGAGGCGCAGATACGTGACCTGAAAAATGTCCTGAAAGAGATCAACCCCGAAATTCCTCTTGTTTTTGTCAGTGGCAACCATGACCTTGGAAACACACCAACTCCGGAAACAATACAGAGTTATTGTGATGAATGGGGCGATGATTACTTCAGCTTTTGGCTCGGAGGAGTCTTCTTCCTGGTGTTGAATTCTCAGCTTTACTTTGATAGCTCTCAGTGCCTGGAACTGAAGCAAGCTCAAGATGCGTGGCTCGACCAGCAGCTCGCCATCGCCAAGGGAAGGCAATGCAAGCACGCAGTTGTGTTCCAGCATATCCCCCTCTTTCTGAAAGATCCAGCGGAAGATCACAACTATTTCAACCTGGAGTTGTCCATCCGGCAAGAGCTCTTGGAGAAATTCCACAAAGCAGGTACAGTGTTTCCTAGGATTGCAAATGATAACATTATGTAATGCGATTTTTGTTCCTGGGTGATAAATGTATTTCCTTAATTGGTTCTATCAAAAACATGGGAAAAGCTTATGTAAGGGTAGGTAAAGGTTTCCCCCTCACATTAAGTCCAGTCTTGTCTGACTCTGGGGGTTGGTGCTCATCTCCATTTCTAAGCTGAAGAGCCAGCATTGTCCATAGACACCTCCAAGGTTATGTGGCTGGCATGGCTGCATGGCATGCTGTTACCTTCCCATCGGAGTGGTACCTATTGATCTACTCACATTTGTATGTTTTTCGAAATGTTAGGTTGGCAGAAGCTTGGGCTAACAGCGGGAGCTCACACTGCTCCCTGGATTAGAACCTTCTACCTTTCAGTTAGCAAGTTCAGCAGTTTAGCGGTTTAATCCACTGCACCACCAGGGGCACCGGGGGGAAAAGCTTACTAAAAATTGTAAGAACTTTGTCGTTGCGGGAGGGGCATCATCCTGGAGCACATTTTGGGCTAGTTTTCCAATGAATATCATCATTGAGTCTCAACCAATTCAACATAGTTTGTGCCACAAAAACGAAGTTTGTGGAATAGAACAACAACAGTGGACTAAAGGGATCAATCCCATTTAGGGTCAGGAACCTACAGTTTAAGAAGCAGTGTTCTAGAGTGTCAACTGATGAAGCAACCTTTGTTTTGGGTATTACCTTATTTTTTAATCAAATGCTTATCTTTGGGGGGGGGGGGTGTCAAATTACCTTGCTATAATTAGGGTGCGCATTAGATTCACAGAATACAGTCATCTTGGTGCTGAGCCAAAGCAAAAGAAGTTGCCTCCTTTAATGACTCAATGCTATTGGATCCTGGAAGTTGTAGTTTGGTGAGGCATCAGGCTTTGGCAGAGAAGGCTGAAGACTTTGTAACACTACAGTCCCCATGACTCCATAGCATTGAACCAAGGCAGTTAAAGTGGATCCAGACTACAGTATAGATGCAACCCAGATTTTCCTTTCCATTTCTGGAAGCTTTAGTGCTCTAACCCTTCTGTTTTTAAAGAATGAATTCTAAGTCTGCAGCAAATGTAATGCACATCTTTTTGTCCAAATTGCAAAGAGCATGCTGTCTGCCGCTTTTTGTGCAAATATATATTTTTTGGTTTCACAAATTTGAAGTGCACATTAGATTCGATGCCGCATTAGACTTGATTGAGTCAATACAGTAAATAGCAAGCTTCATAAAGGAAGGGATGGGGGCTCGGGTCATCAGCCACCTAGAAGAGGACTGGTTTGTGGAGAGCAACATCTGGTGTTTTGATGCTCAGGTTTGATGCCCCCTTCTACCTTTTTAGCCCCTTCTCTCCTACTCTGCCATGTTTTCAAAAGAGGCATCTAAGATCAGGCAGGTGCCATTACTGTTCTACCTGTCTCAAACAATGTACACACTGAGCTACATTTTCTCTCCCAATCTCCTGGTACTTCCTTTTCTTGTGTACAAGTGCAAAGATATTTTTGCTGGCTTGTGGCCAGTAACCTTGTTCTGTCAGGACTGTTGTTATTATGCTAGCTATTACCTTCATCTTATCTTTGTTTATCCTTTGTTTGTACTTCGGCAGGCTCCCTTCCTGAAGCAGGCAGACCTTACTTTTCATAACGGGCTCCTCTCTCTACAGCTCCAAAAGCTTAAACGAGGCAAATAGAAATCTAAAAGGCAGCCCAGCCTGTTACAACCCCCTGTTTTTGCCAAAATTAAATTATCGAGGCTGTAGGCAATGCCAGTTTAATCATTTTGTTGGCATCCACAGTATTTCGGATGGGAAACAGTTTGAGAGTGTGTTGTCGAAAGCTTTCGTGGATGGAATCATTGGGTTGTTGTGAGTTTTCCAGGCTGTATGACTACGTTCCAGAAGCATTCTCTCCTGATGTTTCGCCCACATCTCTGGCAGGCATCCTAAGAGGCTGTGAGGCCTGTTAGAAACTAGGCAAGTGGGGTTTATATACCTGTGGAATAATGTCCAGGGTAGGAGAACGAACTCTTGTCTATTGGAGGCAAGTGTTAATGTTGCAATTGACCAGCTTGATTAGCATTGAATGGCCTTGCTACTTCAAAGCTTTGTTGTTTTCTGGTTTGTTGTAGGTTTTTTCGGGCTATATGGCCATAGTCTAGAGGCATTTCTGAAATGAAAATGAACAAAATCTGGTTCCCAGTATTAAAAACTCTAAAATTACAACAGCACAACAACAGAGAGGAAACAAACAAGGACATCTAATCACCTCCTAACAAAAGTTTGCTCCAGGCATGGTCAGGCCATTATATGTTAATCAAGGTGGTCAGTTGAAACATTCACACCTAGCTCCAGCAGACAAGAGTCTTTTGTCCCACCCTGGTCATTCCACAGATATATAAACCCTTTTTCTTAGTCCCAACAGAACTCACTACCTCTGAGGATGCTTGCCATAGATGCAGGCAAAACATCAGGAGAGAATGCCTCTAGACCATGGCCATATAGCTCGAAAAAACCTACAACAACCCAGTGATTCCAGCCATGAAAGCCTTCGACAATACATTTGTTGTTTCCTGCCTGGAGAGATCCTTTGTTGGGAGGTGCTAGCTGGCCCTGATTGTTTCCTGTCTGGAATTCCCCTGTTTTTTGAGTGTTGCTCTTTATTTACTGTCCCGATTCTAAAGTTTTTAAAAACTGGTAGCCATATTTTGTTCATTTCCATGGTTTCTTCCTTTCTGTTGAAATTGTTCACATGCTTGTGGGTTTCAGTGGCTTATCTGTGTCGTCAGACATGACGGTTGTCAGGGTGGTCCAGCATTTCTGTGTTCTCAAATAACATGCTGTGTCCAGGTTGGTTCATCAGGTGCTCTGCTATGACTGACTTCTCATGTTGAATTAGTCTGCAGTGCCTTTCATGTTCCTTGATTCGTGTCTAAGCAATGCTGCTGCGTTTGGTGGTCCCTATGTAGACTTGTCCACAGCCGCATGGTATACGGTAGACTCTGCGGATGTGAGAGGATCCCTCTTGTCCTTTGTCCTCCACTAACTGTTTGTAAATGGATATAATTGTTAACCTATATTGCATGTACATTTTGGTTTGCCAGTTTGACTCTACCTCTTTGGTGTGGGAGGGACTTCAGACACAGGACTCCATTTTTGTTATACAGTATGCTTTTAGACCTCAATGGAGGGGGATGTAGTGTGTCTCCTTTCAGACTTCAGTTAGTATAGTTATACAGTTTGGACTGCATCTATATGCTTAAAGACTATGGACAATTGATTAAGTATCATACCCTGTGTACTCAACACAGAGAAGTAACTATATCTTATCTAACTGAACTCTAATGAGAAATTGACTAGTATGCTGAATATACTACAGGGAGCAGTCAACTCCCCTGTTCAAACAGCTCCATTGGCTGCCAATAAGTTTCCAATCTCAATTCAAGATGCAGGTTATCACCTATAAAGCCCTACACGGTTCGGGGCCAGCTTATCTTTGTGAACGCATTTTCCCCTACAAACCTATGCAATGTCTAAGATCTTCTGGGGAGGCCCTTCTCTCACTCCAACTCCCGTCACAAACACGGTTGGTGGGGACGAGAGGGGGGGGGCTTCTCTGTGGTGGCCCTCTGACTCTGGAACTCTTTCCCCAGGGAGATTAGACTGGCATCCACCCTGTCTACCTTCCAGAAAGAACTAAAGACGTGGATGTTCCACTGTGCCTCTGACTAGATAGTTCCCCAAATAATTCTGGTTCCCAGTTTGATCCATAATTAGATCTTCACTATCACTGTTCCCTTTTAGAGACATAGTGCTCTCTTTACATTACCCCCAGGTCCTAATTTTGTCATCTCCCTATCCTTTGACAAGTGATTTGCACAAGTCACTGCCCGAACTGTACACTAATCAGACCATTGAAGGTTGTTAGATGTTTGCTATGTATTGTATTCTGTGGTTGTTTTATATTGTTGAAATAAGAATTTTGTTGTTATATTTTATTTTAACTATGTGGAACCTCAGTCTTGTCCCCATGTAAGCTGCACCAAATCCCTTTGGGGAGATGGAAGTGGGGTACAAAACTAAAGTAGTTATGGTTGTTATTATTATTATTATTATTATTATTATTATTATTATTATTATTATACAAATTTCATCTTCAAAGAAACAACTATCCTCTGCTAAAAAAATATATTTTTGTAGTGGCATGTCTTTATCCTTGGCAGTTTAAAGACATGTTCTTCAGTTTAACAACTGAGTTACCTTTGTGCCATTACATTAATGCTTGTGAATATCACTTGTTCAGAGGGTTGACTTCTAACAAGTCATGCTTTTCTTGACTAGTGGTTTTCAAAAGGTGGTCTCCACATGATCATGGAGATTCACATTTGCCAAATGGATGTGACATAATTTTTACCTTTTCAATAAGGTTATGGTGCACTCATTTCCAATAGGTCTTGGAATTTCCAATAAACTTCAGGCCTCCAGGTGTTTTTACTTCAACTCCCACAATTCCTAACAGCCCCAGTTGTGTGTTGTCTGTTCAAATAAAGTCCTTTGCTGTGCAGTTTTTGAGAGAGGTGGTTTTTCTTGCAGGCATGGGCCAACTTGCAGGCATGGGCCTCCCTCCACAATTCCTAACAGCCTCAGGCCCCTTCCTTTCCCCCCTCAGCCGCTTAAGCTTAAGGGGTCTGAGGTTGTTAGGAATTGTGGGAGTTGAAGTCCAAAACATCTGGAGGGTCGAAGTTTTCCCATGTCTGGGTTAACCAATCAACGAGCAGCAAAATGTTGTAGCTCTAAGATAAGAGTGTGCATATAATATATCTGTATATTTATAATACCATATTTGTGTAAATAAGAGGAATAGATAACTTAAAAACACATCTCTTTCCATTCTCTCAGATATTCAAACTGCTCTCCTCGCAAACAAGACTAGTAGGATAGCTATGCAATTCACTGCCATGTAGTATGACTAAACATGCTATGAAATAA